GGATGAATCTAATGTCATAAAATAGTTTCTTTTTGTCCTCTGGACTATATTTACTCTTATTTATTATTATTATTGTATCCTTTAATTCCTAAAGGAACATAGGGCTTCAGGCATGCGTCTCCACTGCGTTCGGTCCTCTGCTAGAGTCTTCACCTGGCTCCATGTCTGCCCACACGTTTTCATCTCCTCTTCACATGACCTCCCTTGGACGACCAACTCGCCGTTTCCCTTTCGGGTTCCACTCAAGCAATGGCTTGTCTAGTGATGTCACTTGATGGTTTCCTCAGAGTATGGTCAATCCAACCAGCCTCCATTTCTTCCTGCCTATTTGTTTCCCAATCGGTTCTTTTTGTCCTCTGGACTATATTTACTCTTATTTACCAAATAAGTACATTGCCTGTTTATATCACCCACAGATATACTATTCTGTAAAAGGACAGTAAATTTTATTACGGTTATTTATTTAGTATAAGTTCTCTTGACGCTTCCAGAAAAATATGACTTCTCTGCTTCATCTTTCTATGTGATCTGTACGTTTTATGATATGTGCTGGTACTGTTACTTGTTCAACTCAATCTACTGGAACAGATTTAGCTTTCCGAAACTGTTTAATAAAATCTCATTTTACTTGTTCTTACTTCGTAATAATTTCACTGTAAGATTTCACTATAAGATTATGAGTAACACCATTGTGGAGGATTATTTTCTGCCTGTCACATTTAGGTCTGATAATGCTTATTTTTAATTGTAATCTACAGTAGCCGAATACAAGCAAACCAAAGAGAAATAGGGCGAGGAGAGAAGTTAAGAATTTGTATTCGACGGAATTATTTTGGATTGTGTGCATACAATGAGCAGAAACGAATAGCAAAGGACAGTTTAGCAGTCTAGTAGTAACAATGTCCACCTGCCACAGGTCTCCTGCGTGCTTCGGTGGCTCCCTAATAGAATGCTAACCAGTCGTGCAGCTGGTGAGAGTTCCATTCCTGCCCAGCACAGTGCCAAACCTTGTCTGGATTTTCGAATGATAATAAGCTGGTAAAAACAGCGGAGATTAGATGTGAGCCTAGAAACCCCATCCAATAAAAACGACATAGCTGTTGCTGACATTTCAATAGCTGTAAGCCCTGTGTTTCACTCGCAACGAAAGAAAGGAATGAAGAAGAAAGAAGTGTAGTTGAATAACATTTACTGGATACCCAATGCGTTTCATTTTTGCCAAATAATAGATGACTACGCCGGCATGCGAAGTCGTTTTTATGTTCACATAATATCAACACATTTTCACTTCAAATACCCATGGAATGCCTACAGGTTAAAAAAATTTTCCAGCACTTTCGTCCCTGTATATGTGAGAATTTATATCTTCTGCCCAGGGACAACTTTATTCATCGAATTCACTGACAGGAAGTATTGGCTGGTGAACCGTTTATTATTTCGTACTCAGTCAAAAGACAAACTTTCAATTCTGCTGTGACTTCCAATCATGTATTGTATGCAGGTCATTCTCATAACACTCAGGTGGCTTCGGATTGCATTTTCATTTTGCAGAAAACCAGTCGCTTTGTCAAGCAGTTGACTGGTTTTGTTTTTGAATCTCACACTACTCGTCGTTGATCATTGAAGATTATATGAACTAGTGTGTTACATGTTCGTCTTTGTGAGTCTCCCTCTCTTTGACACATAGTGTCGGATAGTTTGTATGAAGTTGATTATTTTATTTCATGGATTGCTGTTCATTACTCTTAGCTCACTGACAGTCTAAGTCTGGTTCTTTATTTTCTACCTTTAGTTTTGAAACACCAGGATCTTCACTTACTGATTCACGGCAATAGTTCTGTCGATAAAACTGTAACAGTAACAGTTATTCCTCTGCCTTAGTATTTTTACTAACTTTGCACGCGTGAACTGTTATAATTCCAGATCTTATTCGCATTGTGAATGTGATGGGAACTAAGAATTAATTGCGTTTGTCTCCGTTGTAGAAAAATTTTATTTGATAAACGCATTGAAAGTATCAATTAGTTACTGATGTCGTTTCCGGTCGAATTTATGTTCATAGTCGCGAATCATCACTCCCTTTTCAAAGTTCGTTCAACTTCTAATTTTCGAATTGTATTATACGGTGTTAAGACTGAGGTACGAATGTGGTAGGAATTTTTCCTTTTCTTGCTTCGCTTAAATTGTAATAACCATCATTAGTTTTTAATAGCCCAAGTCACTGTGAATCACATAACCGTTCGTCGACAAGAAGACGACGGATAAGTTTAAAGTACTCTTATTAAAAGTAAAGTCACAAAGAAGGAAAGGATTATTTACACTGACATTACATGACTCAACAGGAATCTGTCTGTCAGGCTCTGTGTCATAATGCAAATAGATCTACTTGCCATTAACTGACTCTTCTAAGTTTCACCTCACTACTTTGAATGTGAATCCCGGTAACATGGATTAAAAGTATATACCAATGGATGACTGTAAATTGAACGCAATCCAGCAGTTTAACATAAACGTGACTGATAAATTCGTCACTACTTCCACTTCTTATCTAGCTTTGTGAACATTTCAGTCTGTCGAAGGGAACTGTCGTAGAAATCAGTTACCAATTGCATTTTACGTAATAGCAATCCAATAGAGTAGTCAAAGAGAATGCCCTTGGTTTGGGTTGGATCAGTATTGGCAACTTAGATAGTGCATTCATGACACCTTGTTTACAGAGTGTTCACTCCTCCTAATTTAGAAGGCATGACAAAGTTCTTCGTCTAAAAGCAGCTCTTGCTACTCAAGCCGCACCTTAGCCTTCTCTACGGAGCAGCGGAATACTGAGCAGTGACGGACAAAATCAGGTTAGGAAAATATCCACCAAAAAATCCACTAAGCATGGAGGAATAGAAGATTGCATCCCCAAGAAGAGCACTACTCTCACAGGGAATTCACATGAACTAGGAATAGTTCAAAGTAAATTCCTATATAAGATACGAAGAAAGGCTTTTGGAAGTTAAGGCTGAAATGGTGGACAAACACGTCTACTTCGGGGAGCTGGAAAACCCTTATCCGAACCCATGATGTAGATGTGCAACAGAAGAAGTTAAGAGAGTCGGAGACAGACGTTTATCAACGAAAAACACATCACAATTATGCATCCTCAGCCCGAAATCTCTCTCAACCTCATATTACAGCTACATGACAACGCTACATACTACAACGGAAAACTCAGAGAAGCCTTTGAAGGGAATACAGGAGCAAGCCATGGATGCCTATTATCACCGATGATATTCCGAATCCTGAGTCAGAGAGTGCTGACCGAGAAAACGAGACTTTAGAAGATGCGCAGCTCGCGGATGATTTATGCAGTGTCACACAAACCAATAACCTGGAGGAAGAAGCAGCGAATACTGAACTTCAAGAGAACGCAGAGTGATGGTGGTGATGGAAATGACCAAGCAACAACAAGCACCCATCATTATCAACGGGAGAAATTTGAAAGAGGTTACTTCTGTCACTTATCTAGGAACCATCGTTTCATCTACAGGCAAGCCGCAACGATGAGGACGTCAAAACCAGAATCAGAAGTGCAAGGCAGACGTTCATCTCCTGCACTTCGCCTCAGGATAGACAATAAGATTTGGATTTTCAACACAAATGTTAAGTCAATTCTTCCATATGGGTCGGAAACCTGTACTGTTCGTCACGTAAAGCGTTTCCAGCAGACTACTTTAAACTTTTAGCAAAATCTGCCTTCACTGCCTATTATTTACAGATCAAATGTCTAGTCACAAAGAATTGGCAACAAAGAACTACGGGAGGGAACTGACTAAGAACCTGTTCATAAACAAGTATTCCGGAGGAAATGTAGATGGACTGAGTACACGCTGTGGGGATCTTCGAATGATGTGAAGCTCGAGTAAAACGCGAACGGGAAACGACGAGTTGGGCATGGGTCCAGGAGTGAAATGGGGATGAGTAATTATGGGCGATTTTGGAGGGGCCTAAAGGGGCTCGTGTCGGTGGCACAGCGGTTGGGACTCTCGCCGACCATGCACATTGTTCGGGGTTCGATCCCCTGCCGACGCATACCTGATACCAATGCAAAATTTGGGCTACCAATATCACACGCTGAAAATTCCATACTCGTACCAAAAGTACGGTGTGGAATCAAGTTATAATAAAAATTTAAAAAGATAAAATCATTCTACTGCAGCCCTTTGTTCCACTCGGAACCAAAAGGATAGATGATGGCAATAATGAAAGGTCACATTAAAGTTAGGCTAGGTCAGAGAAGTAAAGACTCTTCCGATTGGCTTACACTTGGTGCAAAGTTGAACAGTTTGTCAAATTAGTTTATATTCGGTCCACAACGTGAAATCTGTAATCACTGACTTAAGTGTTGATTTCAGTTTTGGCCACTTCCTAACAATCTGCATCACACCATATATGGACTTCAAAATCCTTAGAAATTGAGTAGCTTATGAAGCCGTTTCGATCACTGTCAACCATGATACATTAGCTACCGACACTGTCCTGTTACTCTAGACATCAGACTTCATGTCAAAAGCTAGAGAGATGGCCTTAAAACAGAAACACCTGCTTTGTATATATGGCCGGGCAGTGTCAAGTCCCTAGGAAAAATTGTGGGTGTGGAATACCTCTTGGTGTCCATAATGCACTCATTTTGGGTTTAAATAATATAATAACGAAATAGGCTTAACAGCCTAAATTTCTTGTCGTTGTCATACTGTAGGTAGCGAGGAGATTTAATTATGAGACTCCAATATCTACAAAATGACTGTAGTCTAACCTATATTCTCTTTTCCTTCCGACCATGGCAGAACCTTTCAGATAATATAGCAGGAGAATTCGACTGGCAAGGAGAAATTACCTTGGAGTGGAGTAGTGACTCTTCTATCCTTAACCGAAACTCTGTATCTTAATCACACATACAAACACTCATTACCCGTAGCTTATGCTGAACAGGGGCTGAAAAGAATGCGTAGGACATCACCAAAGATCAAGTGTTTTCCGTTTATCCCAGAGAAATAGGCTGAAAGAATTCACTTCTGATTAGTAGTCGTTATTGGATATCGGAGATTTAGCGCGGACATTTCGTCGTAAACGCTTCTATTGTAAATGTGACGCAAAACACTTTATTTTGACTTTAACTGCTATATTTTCGTATTATTCACTTTGCATTGGATTTTTTTTACCACAATAATATTTCAGGTCACTATATATGTCTTTATTAAAACAGTTAAATGTGCAGTGCGCTCTAAATGTGTCCCAGTGCGCCTAAAGTCACTGTTAGATGGGGAGTGGGGAAATTCCCGTAAAATTTGGGCCAAACAGGGAGAGATAAGAGAATAAAAGAGAAACTGTTGTGGACACCGTCTTCAACGAATTCCTCATTCTTGTCCCGATAACTTTCCCACTTGACTCTTTTTTGAGTACGTAATTGTCTGCACGCATAATATAATAGGTCTAAGTATCTACCCTTAGATTAATTCAAAAGTTTTTATGTGAATGCAAGTGGACAGCAGTTCCTCACTTTCCCTATTATTGGGTTTATACTGTACTATAAATTAAAGCACCGTGTAAACAACGTTGAGGACAGTAATGTGTCATCCGCGTATCCTCAAACTATTTCAACTTTTTGTGCCACATCCTATCTTTCTCATCATTCACAGCTATTACGAAGTACTAAGTTAACTTGGTCCTCTATCATGTGTTACACTCATCATAGTGGCTCTTATGTAGTGGGAATTCAAGTGTGATCTACTGTCACTGTTTAAATGTACATTTTTCGGTTTCCAAATTTCATATTTGGCTTGGATTTCCGGTCATTTCATTGACCTCACATTATTAGATTGAGGAATTCTGTCTTGTTTGCAGAAAAGCTTTACTAATTAGTAAAAATGGAATTCACACCATACGAAAACGGTTATTAGATGAACAGCCTTCTGGTTAAAGTTTTGGTTATTTTGGATTGCATGATAATGATGCATTAACGCAGTTGGTTACCTAGGTTCCTCCTCCTACTTTTGTGACATCAACTAATTACTGACAACCTCATAGTCGATAGAAACGGCGTATTTGTCATCTTTTACTTCGCAATATTTTTATCACAAATATTTTCCTACATAACAAAGCTGCGCAGTAGTAACGCATTAAAAAATGATATATTTTAGTCTATAAGAGTTTCTTTTCTATTTCCTTACGTCAGGTGATAATTTATGTTGAAATCGGACTTGGTATTGATTGAAACATGTAAGTTAGTCACCCATGGGGGAAATCGTTCAGTGTAGTTGTGTGTTACGCATGTCCAACTGAGATCCGTCAAACAAAAGTCTGAAAAGTCTCAGTACCTTACTAATATTATTATTCCCTTGGGTTCCAAGTGGAACATAGGACTTCAATAAATCTCCACTCTCTTCTACTGTCTGCTGTCTTCTTCACATGGGTCAACGACTGTCCATTATCTCTCATCGCTTCCTTACACGATCTCCTCCATGTCACCCTCGCACCAACGACTCATTCGTCGCTTCCCATTTGGATTCCACTTGAGCGATGGCCTGGCGCGCGATGTCATTCGACGGTCTCCTCAGTGTATGCCCCATCCATCCCCATTTTTCTTCTACATATTTGTTGAACATTCGGCTCTTGGTTGGTTTGTCCCACTGCAGAGCTTCTTGCTGTTAATTCTTTCTGGCCATTTGATCTTCAGTACAGAGCGAAGGAAGCTGTTGGTGAAAGTCTGCAACTTGTTGGAAATCCTTTTCGAGACGTGAGCGCAGTGCAAGTTTCTGACCTGTATAGAAGAACCGACTTCACATTGGTGTTGAAAATCCGAATCTTGTTCTTTATGCTGAGTGTAGAAGATTTCCAAGATGGTTTCAGGTTGGTGAAGGCATATCTTGCCTTCCCGATTTTGACATCTCCATCCGTTCCACCGGCCTGTGGTTGAAACGATGCTTCCTATCCGGATAAATGAAGGAGGGAAGTGACCTTTGTTAAATCTCTCCCATTGATGGTGATTAGGGCTGATTGTTGATGCTGTTGGTTAGTTATCTTCATCACTTCCGTCTTCTCTATGCTCACCTGCAGTCCTGTCTTCTCCGCCTTTCCAGTTTTTTTGTTAGTTTTCGCTTGCAAGTCTTCGACTTTGTGTGACATTAGACATATATCATCTGTGAAATCCAGATGTTCTAAAATCTTCCGATCGGTAGTCCAGCGTACTCCTCGCTCCCGTGCACAGTCTGACGCATAATCCAGTCCACCACAATTAATAATATCATCGATAATAATAGACAGCCAGCCTTGTCTTACTTCTGTGTGTACTTCGAACGCCTCGCTGAGTTTTCCGTTGTAAATCACCTGACACGTAGCATTATCATATATATGTTAAATGAGGTTGGTTTATTAGTATTAATTAATTTACCTTGGTTTGTAATTATTATTATTCAACTCATTCCTTTGATTTCCGACTGAAACATGCGGCTTCAAGCTAGAGCTTTGAATTTTCAGTAGCAGTGGGTTGTTTTTATTTTGCGGGGTAGGGCTGCTAGCCACGCGCCCAACTTTACCTCTTTAGCGGTTTAGTGACGTTTAGGAGTGCATCGGCCGGGAGTCGAGCGCCTGAACTATATGAGTGGTTGACGGGTATTTTATCGCTGAACTACCTTGGTTTAACGATACTTCTTCATTTGCCTTGTATTATCTTCGCTAACTTACCCAACACCCATGTCCATTACTGTGGGGTTACACTTATCTTTTTTTAGTGTGTGTGTGACTATTTAAACTGATATGCGTATGTGATTTATCTATCGAATAAGACATTTTCAAGATCACAGAGTTTTGAAGCACTATCATCATATATTATTGGTTTGCTATTTTGTTGTTTCATTTTCATATTTTCCCTTCCAGATTATCCTACTGGCTAGGCAGACTGCCGTCACGGAACCAGCAAACACTTCTACGCACCATTTCACGAATATATACATAAGTCGGACTTAAACGTACTAATAGCTGGTCGTCACACATGGCATTAGACTCTCAAACTACAAAAGAAATTAAAGATGATTGGGGAAATCGTGAATGTGTTGAGATTCTCAGCACAAATATGAAAAGTTTAGTAAACTTCCTTAATCATTTCGACTCCTCTTGCCGAGTTAAGTTATCTCAACTGGACAGCAAAGTAACTAATGCTGAGAAGCATGTTGACCTACTTGAAGCTCAAGTCCAAAGAATTCTTCGTCAACAAGCACATCAGCATCAAGTTCTGTCATCGAATCAACAGTCGTCGGCTGCTAACGAGTAATATCACTCAATTATATATTGAAGTTCTAATTTTCACATACATTATCATAGCTAATCACATTTTATAACTATTGCAATCGACAATGTCTGAACACAGTGTACTATATAAAGCTGATCATATATATCTATCTACCAGTGAAGTAATTTTCATCTTAAGATATTCCTCATGTGCTCTTCTGAACTTTGCTATTGTGTAATTCATGGTTGCACCTGTTGGAAGTGTGATTATAAGTCTACTATGGGCGTACAAGAATAGTCTGGAGGTAAAAGGTCAACAGAAAGCACTAGAGAATATGCGAACGTTCTCATCACATGTATACTCAAAATTGATTGGATCTCATACGATCAAAGTATGCTAATTTACTTCTTGAGAATAGTTTTGTACTTATTTATTCTTAGAAAGATTGTATCTTTGTGGTATGAGTAACTTCATAGAACCTTATTGTTTGTTTGTTTTTTTTACAAGAATCTAATATTTTTTCCATTATTTTAAATTTGAAGTGAACTTTTCCTTCATTTCTGAAATACAATTCCACCTGCGGATCTCTGAAATTTTGTATTTAACTTCACTAATGTTTGGCCGTCGCATATAATTTAGTTGGTGAGCATTTTTAAAATGTGTAGTAGAAGATATGTGGCAGTTGAGAAAGTAATCTAAGGTGAATTATGTATACCTCGAACTGTATGATTTATAACCTGTGGGATCATAATTGCAGTGTTATCCTTTTGTATAAGAAGTTCACTAGCAATACAACTATTATTTAAAGCAGTTAGTTCGCTTTATGAATTTCGGCGACAACACAATAAGTAGACATAGTTCATCTGACACATGTAATGCATTTGCGCAACACATCTCGGACATTCTGACCACACACGTACTTGTCATAAATAGTTATATAGAAGGCATGAATCAGTACAACACATTTCAGATTGTGTACAGGTCAAGTCACAAATAATGGGTAGGGAGATGACGCAAAGGTGTGGGTAAGAAAGAAAAGCCAAAGCAAAGAAGGTGCTGAAAATATTATGAAGTAAATTGAACCTTATAAATTGGATTACCAGGGCAGGTTCAAGTGTTTTTATGGCCAAGGCTTCAACGAATTTAAGTATGTGACGCAACCTTGTTTTATCTATGGGTTTAAAGGTATTATTGAAATCCCTATAATGTGCTTCGCTATATATGATGTTGAACATTTACTTCCGGGATCAATTGTATCCGGCGATTTTATTTGTTGTTACGTTTATAAACACGATATGACAACTTCAAAAACCTACTATCCAGTAAATACGCACATGTGACTCCTCGTTATTTGCGTACAAAATTCATTGTATCAGCTGTCGACGTTAATAAGTATTGCAAGACATCATTTGTTTTCCTTTCCGGAATTATTATTGAAACTATGAAGTCGGGTTTTCAAGTCGTAGTTTCCGTTTCCATTTTACTTATCTGAACGGTATTAGGAAAAAATATGAGAAGTCATTGCACCCAACTCTTCATGTTATCTAGCTTTCTCTATAGGTTGTAACTGCCAGTTCAGGAATGAATCTTGAGCGTTAACTATAAATTCATATTAGTGTTAGCAATTGCCGTTGTAGTTTTTCCCTCGTAATATGTTGATATTTGGAAACTTTCCTTCATACTCGGAGTGCCTTGGCAGTTATAAATCACATAGAACTCCTTCATTTCTCACTAACTTCACGATTGAATTTCATCAGAAAGCATGTATACTTTTGGCAAAAAGGTTGGAAATGTTCTTTAAGGGACAGAATAAAAAGCATTTTTATCTTCATCTTTAACATAGACACATCCGCCTCATCTTAGAAAGCAGTTCCCCACCGAGCAAAAATACCTCATTTCATACATAATCTCCCTGTTTCCAGATAGGATCTACATAAAGACAGAAACAGCAAGTATGCTTTCATCCTTAACCCTAGTAACAACAGACATGTTTATGTTGCTTCTCATTCTGGAAATATACAAAGTCAGTGGGAAACTTTTGTGTACCCACAAATGTCAATGAGTAGCACAGTGCACTCGAAATATCCAGTAATTATTTAAGTGTTGGTTTGCAGAGATTTGATGGGTCATAGGATTTCATCATTAGCTGACATCGGTTAGAGAACCAACTGGGAGTACTGGACAGCTATTTCCTCCGTCCTAGTCAAGGACTCTCCATAAGTACCCACCCACTACAGTGGTTCAAACCCAGGGCCTTCCGGTTAGAAGGCGAGCTCGTAGACCATTCAGCCACTGAGACCCGACCCAATGGCTAGTCCATGAATTCTATCTTTTGCCAATTTATGGTATAGCGCAACCACTGGGTAATGTCATCTGCGAGTGTCTGTCCTCACACCTGACCTGCTGTACGCCACTGGTCACTAGGATGAAACAGCTGTTCAGTACTCCCAGTTGTTTTTCCAATGGTTCTCTAACCGATGTCAGCTCATGATGAAATCGGGTAACCAATCCAGTAATTATATTTAGTCGCAATAACATAAATGTCCATATGTTCGTACGGTAAAGAAATAGTAGGCGCCATATACAGTTCTGCCGAGCTTATCAGACGAAATAATTTGCTCTGATATATCCTACAGCAAGTGTAATAACCAGTTGTGATCAATTATAGTGTTGCTCTTAGATAGTTAAGATGAGCTAATCGACATGGAGGTGAATCCTCACCAACTTATATAACCACGGTAGTCGTTACGCATGTCGTAGAGTCATTCCCACGGACAATGTAGGTATACAATCAGAGGTGGTCATACTGATACAGAAGTTTGTCACTTGTTATCTGAACCAGACATGAAGCTGCGGGTTGTCTATTGAAAATTCCTCCATATATTTGAGAATTTTCGTGATGTGGGTAAGTAAAATTCGTTCACTTATTACCATCGAACTTCTGGAAATTTTTACTACTTTTTTCGAAATATGACAGCGTCCATTCATTCAGGCTTCTCTGTGCAGTTGTTTAGCGACGAACAATAATTTTAAACGATGATTGAAGACTGTTATTCGTCTAACGGCTCTAAACTAAATCCTTCCAAATGTCAGACTGTCGATTTCAGTTTCCGATGTAAAAGAAAGTTGAATGAAGCCGTTGGTTCCTATGACCCTTGCAAAATTGATGATAGTGATATAGAAACCAAGTCTGAAGTTAAGTACCTTGGATTAATTCTCTCTTCTGACCTATCCTGGTCTTCCCATGTCTTAGCGATTTCTAAAAGAATATTTCGTCTGACTTTTTACATTAAGAAGTTGAGGCACTCAGGCATAACCCAACCCCTCCTCTTACAGTTTGTCAACTCGTGTATTTTACCTATTCTTCTTCACTGTTCACCCTTTCTTTCCTGGATTGCTTACAAAAAGACTATGTCATACTGCGTAGAACTCTGAAGACTATCAGTAGAACGAGTAGTATCCCATTGGGCCATATCGTTGACATTGTCATTGATGATAGGCACTTGATGTCGCGCAACAAATTCACTAAAGGAATTTCGTCAGATTGTGAGCATCCACCTCATTCACAGCCCCAGCCTTCTGTCTCCTCAGGTAAAACAAGAAGTCTTCTCAGAAGAATTTATGCACGTACGTCTAAGTATAAAAATTCCACTACACCATCTTTAGCACATACTCTATGTGATGAAAATAGTATCAGGCATGAACTAACTAACCTTCTTTGCACTACTAAATAAACCATTTTCTCCACCCTTACAGCATCAAACTTTATTGTTATTGTACTGCTTGTATTTATAATCCTCTCAATTTTTTGTTTTTGTTTATTTTTTTCATGAATGTGGACATAATTTAAGCTGTGTTATAACTGTTAATTTTGTATTTTCCCTCACTATACTATATCAACAGAACATTAGATTCAATAATCTATAAAATGTTAAAGTTTCCAAACTGAATCAACAATGCCGTTTGAAACAAACTCACTGTTATTATTATTATTGTATTTAATAATCTCAATTCGTGCTTCGAATATTTTTGACTTTATATCGTAAATGTGGACAAATAGCTCCGGTTAATTTAGTTTTAATCTTATTTATATTTTGAGTAAATCAGATGCAATATTGTGACAAAAGCTGAGAATTCCATTATGTATTATTTTGGTGAGAGATGGTTGCTAGCCAAATTGGTTGACAGTAATTGAGGTCAATGTTGGTCATGTGAAAACAAGGTCAAGATGGACAGGCGGATACAGTTAACATATAGATGAACTGACACAGCCACAAGAGATGCAAGGTTAACTTTGTGTGAGAAACAACCAATCAACAGACTGTATTTTCTACTAACATTAACCTACAATAATGTACATCAAAATCTATAAATATGTGTTGATTTTCCGTAGTAAACGTTCTGTTGCCTGGCCCTTGTCTTCTGTTGTTACATTTGATGTCGCTGCCTACCGACAAATGGAAAGCCTATGCCCTGCAGTTTTTGATGGAGACATATGGATCTTCGCGCAGGACTTTAAGGCTTCTTCGCAGTTGAGTGGCGTTCAAGATCTGTCAGCGATGAGGCTGCTACTTGGGACGCTGCTGGAAGGTCGGGAAAAAGCAGCATATGGAAGTGTGAGGCGAAATACCTACGAATGTGCGACAGGGCCTTCTGTTGTTACATTATAAGTACTGTTTTTGGAATAAAGTAGATTATTATTGTTATTATTATTTTTATTATTATGCTTTTATTTAGATTGTTCGACAACTGCTGAATATTAACTTGACAAAAGAAGTCATAATCTCACTAATTCATAGGATTATCTAGAAAAATAACCATTTATTCACATTATTAAGTACATTAATATAAAAATAGTTTATTCTCTAGTCACATCTGAATACAACACAAATAATTGACATAAATCAGGTCCATGTATAATGAATCAATAATTCTTGTGTAGCAATTCTTTTTATACTTGGCCAATCGATATTCATATGTGCTTTCCAAAATCGATGACACCGTGACCATGTAGTTGCAGGAAATTGAGGAGTTGATATACCATGAAATATATTAGCAAGTACTCGACCTGTAATAGTTGTATTAAGACTAGATTCATGCACCCGGAGAAAATCTCGTACAGTCGACTGCACTTGAGCAACCTTCAATGAAAAGAAAAAGAAATAAAGTACACTAATTATTGGATGCTCGCAGCTTAGAAGGCATTATGTGTCACAGAGATTTGACTACTTTCAAGTTAGATCACGAAATGGCATCAGCCGTTAGAGAACTATTGAAAGTCACAGACTACTACTGGATAGCTATTTCTTCGTAGTTTTAATGAGAAACTGCAGCGGCTGGCGTTTACCACGTCGGATGTGAAGACAGGCACTCAATCACCAACCACACTGGCTAACGGTAGGGGTATACATCACAATTCGGCAGATGTTAGGATTCATGGACAGCAGGATCACCTAGTAACTGAGTCCTATCGCCAGAAAGGTAGCTTATGGCGTGCGTGTTGCTGAAAAACCCAAAATTAAGATCAAACAGATGTTGAGTATTCCCTGACTTCTAATGGTTCTCTAACTGACCTCAATTCGTGACTTAACTTGATCATTATTAGGTAGGTGATGATATTCATCCACCAATACAGTTTTCCTGACGAATAATGCACAATGGATATTATCGAATTTTACAGAAAAAAGATATACATTTTCTCATCATTTGCCGCAAACATCAGACTGAAATTCGTGAAAACCATGAAATCTGCATATAATCGACGAGGCTATAAAGTTACATAGATTGAGATGGCTAGGTCACGTGCTGCGCAAGCCTAACCATCGCCTCCCCTGACGGACGGGCATTACTAGCTGATATAGGTAGGTGCAGGTTGGAAAAGAGTAAGTAGTGGCCAAACGAAAACATGGCATCAATCAATCCATGAAATCCTTGACAGTTAAACTGAGTCAGGTAGGGAGGGAGATGCAGACTTCCGGGTTGGGGCCCGCCCTCGGGACTCTAAGAATCAATCAATGAAGGCTGAAGACAATAGGTGACATGGCTCAAAATCGTTGTCAATGGCTTACGCAGATGTATCCAGTCTCTGTAATCTTGTATATTCCTTTCTACCATTACTCATTCTGTTTCACTCTTATACTTGTCAAAACTCTATTGATTCTCTCCACTCATCTTCTTGTCTAGCTTTGTGTGCTATTTGGACCATGGCAACTGGAACTGCTGCACTTCGGTGCCAAGTTCTATGTTGAATCCAGACAGACAGAACACTTCCTATCAAAGGTAATAATCGTTTCTTTGTACAGAACAGGAAGACATGGTAGTTAACACTAGTCTCCACTAACCCTAGATAGCTATCTATCTGAAACAAATGAGGATAAGTGGATCACCGTCTTAAGCACTAGACTTTCATTTATCGGGTATGCGGTTCCAGTCTTGCTTCAGCTATTTCAGTTCTCGCACAATAAGTAAAGCTCTCAGCTTGGTACATTAAAGATCGCATCTGGGTAATCTAGTTCAAATATATCTGATACAAATAAATTGTTTTACAAAAAGGCTAATTTTCAAGTGTTGTTTTGCGGGAATTTTATTCATTTTAAGGTTGATTACAAATTGACTTTAGTCACAGAACCATTAAAAACCAGGGAGTAATGGACAGTTATTTCGTCCTCGTTTTTGACTCTTCAGTAGTGCGCACACATAACTGACTATAGTGCGAAGTCGTCACCATCAGCGTCCACCAAGTTGGATGTGGGGACAAAAACTCCCTCCTGTTGACTAGCTAGTGATGGTACTATATATTTCCAGTTGGTAGATGGTAGAATTTGTTAAACCATCAGACTCCATCTCAGTGACCGAATGGTCAACAAAACCACCTGGGTTCGACCCCTGGTTACCATATGGGCGATTACTCCGAAGAAGTCGTGAACGGGAACGAAACATCTATACACTACTCCCTCGTTTTCAATGATTCTTTAACTGTAGTCAGTTCGTGATCAATTTTGAAAAAGGTTCATACTTTCTCCAACCACTATCGCTGCATAGAACTATTTGATACAACACAGCACTGGACACTTGTACTACTTTACGACTTTGTAGCAATGTGTAGTACCCAAACAAAGGAAACACTGACCACCACTTCACGCGAAGTAAGTCCATCACCACTCAGTCAGTGGCGACTTGAACTGCCACACATATGTGCAGAGTTCTATGTCGAAAACCGAACAGTCACTCGATCAAACACTGATCTGACAGATGATAAATGCAACAACATAGACTGTCGTCAAGCATTTTAGGACAATTTGTAGAAAATTCCCGACGACGAATAGAAGAGAACAAAGAAAACTATACAACTCAAGTTTCGAAGTTGTGTGATTATAATTGGCGATAGGATTATGAACAATAATAAATTGTGTTGGAAACTTTGTCATCCAATAAATAACACTGTTTCATCACTGTGTGTAATAAACAAACGAATATGGTAGTATAATATACAATTGAAATTAAAATGTTTGTGATTAGAATCGTAGTTAAATATCAAGTGGCAAAACAATTAACGTCATAAATAATGTCCGTAACCAAGAAAATGCTGTATACGAGCTTGGAATTCAAAGGTGACTTTGCTGCCAACATCATTAAAAGAAGGATCTCACAGTTCCTGAAAAGGACATTCTCTGCTGCATCGTAGAGAAAAGCATTTTTTAGTCGAGCATTACTGTTCAATAATCTGAAGGAGAAGATCCCGCTGTGAGTTGATCAGTTCACGTGCTCGTGTGGAGCGACGTATGTCGGTCGTTCGACTCGAGTTTTGTCCAATAGGGTGCGTAGTTACGAAGACGTGGAAGTGGAGCTATAAGAAGAGCGATCACTGAACATCTGGTCGATAATAATCGCCCTATCTCTACAGCTTCAGCCTTTAAAGTCATCTACAAAGCGAGAAGTTATTTACCCGAATCACTACGTATCCGACTCATCTGTATTGCTGAAGCTTTGGTCATCGAAATAGAAAAGCCAGATCTCTGTATACAGAGAAAGTTCACTCAAACCCCTTAATCCCTCTATGCTAAAGTATGGTAATCCCCATTCATATTTTGGCTCAACTTATCTTTCGTTTTTTAATTCAATTTGTATACTCATCCCGTATTAATTCGATTGTTACCATTATTATTCTCACTTTGAATTGTCCACGGGGACTATTTCACTCACTCCACCTGTCATTCTGAACCAGTTCTGTTTTGCAACGTTAAATTTTACACAGTGCTACGTAACAATTTTTGGTTTTATTCTATTTGCCTACTGATTCTATAAGTTTACACCCCCTTCCAACATCTTTTAGTCATATGAATTGTCCTATAAATGACATTAATTGATTTGCCACTTGATATTTAACTATGATTATAATCACAAACATTATGATTTTATTGCATTTCATACTATTATTATTATTATTTTATGCATTTTACACCTGTGATTTATACCCTCACCAGATTTTATTTCTTAAGAACCTTATATATTATACACGATTGTACAGCTTGTTAATAAATTAATTGAAAAGATTCTCTTAGGCTGATTTTAGGATAAAGCAGTTCAGAAATGACGGTTTTTGGAAGAAAGAAGAAACAAGACAAGGAATGGCTCTCAACGGACACTTGGAAGCTAATAGAGGAGAGGAGAATGGTGAAAGAGAAAATGATTCAATGCAAAGATGGACAAGAGAAAGAGACGCTGAGCTCAACTTGCACAGCACTGAACAAAGAAGTGAAGAAGAGTGCTAGGAAGGACAAAAGACAATTCTACGACAACCTGGCTACTGAAGCTGAGAAGGCAGCAGGCAAAAGGGACCTGAGGACACTATATCAGATAACCAAGTCTCTATCCGGGAAGAGATCAACACAAGTGAGACCTATAAAAGACAGCCAAGGGAACCCAATTACCAAAGAAGAAAGATTAAACAATGAGCGGACCACTTCAAAGGACTCTTGAACCGACAACTGCCTGCAACCCGTCCAGAAATACCAACAACAGCACGTACACAACTGCAAGCTGACATCAATCCTCCAACGAAAGCTGAAGTCTTGAATGCAATCAAGCTTCTGAAAGCTAGAAAAGCAGCTAGACCAGATGGAATACCCCCTGAAGCACTGAAAGCGGACCCAGAGACGACAGCAGATATGCTGACTCTATTATTGCAAAAAGTCTGGAAGGAAAGAAAGGTGCCTAACGACTGGAGGAAAGGTTACCTTGTGAAACTACCAAAGAAGGGCGACTTAGGACTCTACAAGAACTGGCGAGGAATCATACTCCTGTCGACGCCAAGTAAAATCCTGAGTCGCATCATCCTGGAGAGAATAAAGGACGCACTGGATACAGAACTCCGACCAGAACAAGCTGCATTCAGGAAAGGCAAATCATGTTCTGACCAAATTGCAACTCTACGCATCATCATCACAGAACAAAGCATGGAATGGCAATCAAATCTATTCCTCAACTTTATAGACTTTGAGAAGGCCTTCGACAGCGTTGGCCGTGAAGTAATTTGGAAACTACTCATGTACTACGGCGTACCCCAAATATTCATCGACCTTATTCAACAGCTGTACGACAACGGCTAATGTCAAGTGATCCACAACGGAAAACTCAGCGAGGCGTTTGGAGTAAACACAGGAGTCAGACAAGGGTGCTTAATATCACCAATCATATTCCTAATTGTGGTGGACTGGGTTATGCGTCAGACAGTGGGAAACGAGAAGACAGGGATATCCTGGACCGACATGAAGAACCTAGAAGACCTGGATTTCGCGCGTGGATGATTTATGTTTGATGTCACACAAAATCGAAGACTTACAAGCGAAAAGCGACAAACTGGTCGAAGAAGCAGCAAAGACAGGACTCCAGGTGAACATAGACAAGACGGAGGTTATGAAAATAACCAACCAACCAACAACAACAGCAGCAACATCCAGCGCCAATCACCATCAATGGAAGGGATTTGAAAGAGGTTACTTCATTCACTTATCTAGGGAGCATTGTCTCAACTACACGAGGAACGGACGAGGATGTCAAATCGAGAATCGAGAAGGCGAGAAACACATTCATCAACCTGAAACAACCAATCTGGAAATATTCGTCACTCAGCCTACATCAACAACAAAATTCGGATTTTCAATACAAACGTCAAGTCAATTGTTTTATACGGATCAGAAACTTGGCCAGTGGGTCACAAAGAATATTTCCAACAGCCTGTTGCAGACCTTTATGAACAACTAACTGTCTTCGCTCTATACTGAAGATCAGATGGCCTGAAAGAACAAGAACCAACAAGAAACTATGGGAACAAACAAAACAGGAACCAATCGCTCAGCACATATGCAGGAGAAAGTGGAGATGGATTAAACACTCGCTGAGGAGGCCGCTGGGTGACATCGCGCGTCAGGCCAGTGCTCGAGTGGAACCCGAAAGGGAAGCGGCGAGTGGGACGTCCAAGGGTGATATGGAGGAGATCGTGTGAGGAAGAGTTGAAACAGTATGGACAGTTGAAGCCCTATTTTCCACTAGGAACCAAAGGGAACAATAATAATAATAGTTCAGAAATGAAGAATAACGTAATGATAATAATAATAATAGAGTTCAAGGGAATACACTTACCTGACTATCCGTTATCTCTGGAGGCCAATGATATTGAGATTGACAATTCTTCAGCATGACTAACATTTCCTCTGATAGTATAGGCTCAGTATCAGAAAAATGCGATTTAATCAATTCATGCACAACTAATGAGCGTTGTTTACAATTTTCATTCAAGTCAGATTCCTCCAATACAGGCTTAGATTTATCTTTGAATAATATATCAACATTAATATTATTATTAATATTCTCTATAGGATAAACATCTTCAATAGATGGTTGTACAACAGTGCCTAAAGTTAATGTCAATTGTTCAATACTTTGTAGAGCAGTTTTTTCAGTTTGTTGTAAACGATTATTTAAATACATTAAACAAGCATCCAGACGTTCATTGGTAATTGGTACTTCTCGTCCATGAATCCATAACCATAAATTCCATTGAGAGAAATTAACGCTTACACCAGTACGATATGTTTTATTCAATTGACCAGTAATAGAATTATTATTATTATCATTATCATTAGAAGTAGTAGTATCCCATTCAAGATTTTTTAATTCTTTTTTTACAACATTTGGTTTCCAACCCCAACGATTAAATAATTGTGGTAAATTGATCTCTAGTTGTCTAGGACAACTGGTATTATCATCACAACTTTTAGACTTTTGTTGTAATTGTTCATTTCTCCGCCATAGACTCAATGAACCGGCTATAGCTAAACAACGCTGAGAAGCATAAGCCATTTCATTTTGACTTCCATAACAATCGACTGTAGCAATCTGAAGGTATGAAACAAAAAAAACAAAAACAAAAAAGATGCATAAGATGGTGGTATCTGTAGTCACATCAACTTTAGGAATATATTATAAAGTGAACAACAGGCTTATTGCATAGTGCAAAGAAATTAATACTTTTCAGTAATATGTGATTATGTAAGATTAGATTGGAAAAGAGTTACGTGTGTACTGCTCAGTAGTCCGCTCCGTCCTCCTCTATGGATGTGAGACCTGGCCATTGAGAGTGGAAGACATGAAAAGACTAGCTAGCTGTCTTTGATCATAGGTGTCTGCGTTCTATCTCCCGCCTGAAGTGGTATAATAAGGTGAGCAATATTGACATTAGGCTTCGGTCGAGTGCTAGATAAAAAGGGGAAATCAATCGACGAGGCTGTGAAGCTACATCGATTGAGATGGTTAGGACATGTGTTACGTATGTCTAGTCATCGCTTTCCTCGAAGGGCAATGTTAGCTAACTGGCAGAGGATGAGGTTGAAAAAGAGCCACAGGTGGTCAAACCAAAACATGGCTTCATCAGTCAATGAAATCCACTACAGTCAGTTTAAACCACGTGGGAAGATGTAGACCTCATGGCTGGGGTCCTCGGGACGGTAAACGTCAATGAAGGCTGGAGACAATCGGTGATATGGCTCAAAATCGTTCCCAATGGCTGGTGCAGATGCATCCACTCCTTGTGACTCATGATTTCCAATGAAACTGTTTTGTTCTTCGTTATTACTATTCGTTTTGTCTCATATGCCTGTCTACCGTCTCTATTTTGCATTTCTTCTACTTTCTTCTCTTGCTTTGTGTGCTACAAGAAGGGAGTGTGGTGACTTGAACTGCTGCACACTTGTGCAAAGTTCTATGTTGAAACCAGACAGATATTGTTCTTCTCCAGACTATTCTCTATCATCCCACACATTTCCATTTGTTATACTTTGTATGTATAAGAAAAAATCTGTTACGGGTAACTGAGTTTAAACAAGAGCTCACTGTGACTTAAATAAGTTAGTCAGTTAAGCGTCATACTGCATGTTACCAAAAAACAGTTCCAATAGTCTGTAAACTTCCATCAACAGCCCCCGCCTACGCCCTATATACTGAAGATTAGATGACCAACCCCAAAGGAGGATCTGTCTGTCTCTCTGTTTTCAACATAGAACTTTGCACATAGGTGCGGCAGTTCAAGTCGCCACACTCCCTTCTTGTAGCACGCAAAGCAAGAGAAGAAAGTAGGAGAAATGCATAATAATATAGACAGTAAACAGAGGTGTGAGACAAAGGAATAGTAATAACGAAGAACAAAACAGTTTAATTCGAAATCACAAGTCACAAGGAGTGGATGCATCTGCACCAGCCATTGAGAACGATTTTCAGCCATGTCACCAATTGTTTCCAACCATTGGTTTTTACCGTCCCAACGATCCCAACAAGACAGGAAGTCTACACCTTCCTACGTGGCTTAGACTAACTGTTGTAGATTTCATTGACTGGTGCCATGTTTTCGTTTGACCGCCGCTACCTCTTTTCCAGGCTGACCCTATATCAGCTAACATTGCCCGTTGTCGAGGAAGGCGATGACTAGGCATACGTAACACATGTCCTAACCATCTCAGTCGATGTAACTTCACAGTCTCGTCGACTGATTTCCCCGCCTTACCTAGCACTCGACCGACGCCTAACCTCAATATTGTTCATTCTATTATACCACTTGACACGGGAGATAGAACGCAGACACCTATGATCAAAGACAGCTAATCTTTTCATGTCTTCTTCGACTCTCAATGGCCAGGTCTCACAGCCATAAAGGAGGACGGAGCGGACTGTTGAGCAGTACACACGGCCTTTGGTCGATAGTCGGATACCACGTCTACGCCAGAGACGGTGTAAACTGACATATGCGAAACTAGCCCTCTGTATCCGTGTTGAGATTTCGTCAGAGATCAACCCGTTGGGGCTGATGCAGCTTCCCAAATAAGTGAAGTGGTCAACACGCTCTATCACTTCACTTCCTATTTCTAATCTAGGAGTCGGTGTAGTCCAATCCTGTAACATCAATCAATTAATCAACTAAGGACCTATCGTCAAACAAATACGTAGAAGGAAATGAAGTGGATATACACTGAGGAGAACCCAGACTATCGATCGAAAACCGAATGAGAAACGTGTTGAGTGACACAGAGATCGTATAAGGCAATCACTCAGTCCATGGACATATCATACAGCCAGGTAAAAAATAATGTAGAAGACACAGTGTAATGCGAGAAATCATACGTGAAGACACCAATACATGGCACACTAGTAATAAATGAATTTAACACAGAAAAGTAATATTATGCAAGACAAATAGTTTTCAATGGAACACTATGTGAATGAACTAACTAATAAGGTAAAAGATTATTATTCAAGTATTGGTTTGTAGGGATTTGGTTGATTGGCATCGGTGGCACAGTGGTTAGGACTATCGCCGACCTTTCACATGGTCCGGGGTTCCATCCCCGGATATCAATGGTCGGCCTGTGAAATTTGGGCTATCGGTATCACATGCTGCAAATTCCATACTTGTACCGAAAATGCGGAGTGGAATCAAGCTATAATCAAAATAAATTTCATCATGAGCTGACATCTGTTGAAGAACCATTGCAGAACCACCCGGGAGTACTGGGCAGCTGTTTCCTCCGTCCTAGTGAGGGACTCTTCATCGGTACGCACCCACCGGAGTTCGAACCCAGGACCTTCTGGTTACAAGGCGAGCTCGTATACCATTAAGCCACTGGGACCCGATCCAATGGCCCATGAATTCTAACTTCTGCCAATTCACGATATAGTGCAACCGCCAGCGAGTATTTGTCCTCACACCGCACGCACAGAAGGTCCAGGGTTCGAACTCCGGTGGGTGCGTACCGATGAAGAGTCCCAAACTAGGACGAAACAGCCGTCCAGTACTCCCAGGTTTTCCAATGGTTCCCTAACCAATGTCAACTCATGATAAAAGATTATTACTTGAGTGTTAATGGACGCAAAACATTTTTTGATTGAACTGTACAGAATAATGTGTGACTTTGAAACAAACAAAAACAACAAAAAAGAAATGTCAATTAAGCTTACTGTATAACCAGAATGAAGTATTGAAATGATTGGATTATTCGGTTCCAATTCCATATAGGCTAATATTGTGATTAAACTTTCAGGCTTGATATCGACTTGTTCACTGATAGCTTGTAAATCGACTGTATGCACATGGCCTTGACACGACGAGGAGGCGGAGGAGAAGGAGGATGTATGATCATTTGTCTGAGATCCATCATCAGTTTGACGACAAACACAACGGAAATCTTTGAATACTAGGCTTAATAAACGTTTTAATAAGACAAGATCAATGTGATTGACAAATATATGCCGTCGAATGTCATTTGCTTCACTTGGATCGTCCATTAATGAAGACGGAAGAAATGCATGACAGTAAGAAGATTGTTGTTTACGTCCAACACGACCTATTTCCTTGAATAAAAGAGGAAAATCAGGTGAATGACAATGAGAAAATAAACTGATGAAATGTAGGGTCTTATAATATCTTATAGTGTTATGCACTAAATTATGAAGCACTTAAACAGGAATAAAACAAGACACGTAGCACAACTAATTACTGACCCAAAGTACCCCTACACTTCACGTGTCCTTGACTGTAATAATGAGTGACACGAGTTCGAATCCCCTAGGAGGGGGAAGGTATCAATTCCTTTCAAGTTTCAGCTACGCCTTTTGGAGAGTGCTGCTTTGTGTTCCAAGTGGAACAGTAGCGGTGATAGTATTCTTTTTTTACGGGATGTGTTTACTAGCCTGACGACGTCCAAATTTCCCATTTTTCCCCGGTTAACTATTGGGCCAATAAACTAGGGTGACATTCAGGAGTTCATTAGCCAGGAACCGAACTCAGATTACATTTGTCGTTGGCTAGCGTTTCGCCACTGAAGTATCGTCTGTTTAATATTAATTCAGTATTCACCGGTATGGTAAGTCATCAATGCCAGTCTGACTGATAGGATCCACCAGTTAGCGACAACACTCAGCATTATCAGTGTACCAATATATCTTCCTGCAAATATTCCTTTCTTTCTGTGTACAATGATATTCAGAACAATGCTGAGAATTCCACATTGTATCAAATGTATTGCTTGGAATAACTGACTGATTAGTTTCAACACAGATATGCAGCAGTTCGAGTTGCCACACTCCATGTAGCTGATACCTTGACGTAGTGGTCGGGCTTGCACATTGCAATGACCCAACAAGCTACACTGGTTGGAACTAGTGTTCCTGCAGGTCCCACCATGCCAGGAAGGTTGTTAGGATAGCGATTAGACTAAAAGCAGTTACCGGCATAGTGTAAGATTTTGTTTTCTACATTATACTTGCGATCTATGGTCAAAGTCGTACTGCTGGGGAACAGGGATGAAACAGCAGTGAGATGTTTCCCTCAGATGACCAGCATGCCAGCTATGCTGTCTCTCCTCTCTGGAGAGAGGGGGTTAGAAAAGATTGACCCCAACAATTGTACATCCCGACTTACCCGTAACCGGCGGTAAGTTGACTAATACGGAACCAAATCAAGAAACCAGTTCATACACACCGTGTGAGATCGGCCTCAAGCAGTTGTCCCCTGGGCTCTGCGGTCACGCTACACTAATCCTGTTTCTATTTCAGGTACCCAAAGACTCAATCAACTTCCACGGTGTGGGCAAGTAAAAACCGCCCACACACCTCGAAGCTTCAACGATCATCATTCTCCTTTACCCACATCACCTTCACCATCTTACTCCCCACTACACTTAGTACTATTCTTCAGGCTAGTGAGTCATCTTCACTTCACTCTGCGACCACGAACAACGACGAAAGCCATAGAAACACCCCCGACAGCTTCTTAAAGTCACGTCGCCAACTTCATATTAGGGCATTCAACGTCAGGACCTTCTGTCAAATCGGAAAACAGGCATCACTAGCCAGAACTCTAGCACTTTGAGTCATGGATGTGTTTCGGAGACACACATACAAGACCCGAGTGTGGTCATTCACTTAACCCCACTCGGCCAACAAGGTGAATCTACAAAATTCACCTTAAGGGTGTCAGGAGACCCCTCAGCTAGTTGGCGAGGACTCATTGGTATAGGAATAGCATTGAGTGTTAGGGCAGAAAAATCACTTCTTGACTGGTTCCCAGTAGATAGTCGTATGTGTTCGGTCCGTCTGAATAAATCCGTTAGTGAAAGGAAGGACAGCGTCATCCATCGTTGTCTCTCCGTAGTCTCCGCGCTTACGCCCTAACCGACTGCACAGTTCGCAAGAACTAAGAGATGATTTCTACCAGAAACTGTCTTTTTTTATTCCTTCATGTTCCCAGTAGGACATGGGGCTTCAAGCTAGAGGCTTGAAGTTTCTGTAGCAGTGTTTATTTTTACAGGATGGGGTTGCTAGCCTCATACCCAACCTTCCCTCTATGCCAGTTCTATTACTGGCTTAGTTAGGTAAAGGAGTGAGTCGGCCGGGGATCGAACCCCGGACCATGTGCATGGTCGGCAAGCGTCTTAACCGCTGTGCCGCCGACGCAGAAACTGTCTAGTTTGCTACAGAAAGCAAAACGCTCAAATGTAGTCGTTTTTGCTTGTAATGAAGTCATTATTATCATCATCAATATGTACATGTATATATATGCACAGATTTCAAACCGACTAACTTGTATGTAGTTTTCAAATGATTTAGTAAGTGAATAATGTATTACAGCTTGTAGATCTGATTTATTCAATCCCATACCAAAAGCACAAGTGGCAATCAGGACACGTATTTGTCCATTCATAAATTTTTTCTGTATACGTGATCGTTCATTTGTTGTTTGACTAGCATGATAGGCAGCTGTTGTCCATGACATACGTTTACGTCCAATCTAAAGAAAATGATGACAGAGGAAAATCAGGATATAAACAGTTAAACAGTTAATGCAAGATATACATACTTCTTTTTTAAATGTCAATAATCAAGTTGGAATTCATGGTCTGGCCATTGGATCTGTCTGTCTCTGTCTGGATTCAACAAAGAACTTCGCTCCGAAGTGCAGCAGTTCGAGTTGCCACGTTCCAAATACCACACAAAGCTAGACAAGAAGATGAGTGAAGAGAATCAATAGACTTTCGACAAGTATAAGAGTGAAACAGAATGAGTAATGGTAGAAAGGAATATGAAAGATTACACAAGAGACTGAATACATCTGCGTAAGCCATTGACAACGATTTTGAGCCATGTCACCTAGTGTCTTCAGCCATTGATTCTCAGAGTCCCGAGGGCGGGCCCCAACCCGGAAGTCTGCATCTCCCCACCTGACTCAGTTTAACTGTCAAGGATTTCATGGATTCATGAGGCCATGCTTTTGTTTGGTCACCACTTACTCTTTTCCAACCTGCACCTATATCAGCTAGTAATGCCCGTCCGTCGGGGGAGGCGAGGGTTAGGCATGCGCAGCACGTGACCTAGCCATCTCAATCTATGTAACTTTATAGCCTTTTCGATTGATTTTCCCTCTTTGCCCAACACTCTACACGCCTAACCTAACGTCAACATTACTTACCTTATTATACCACCTCCTAACGTGAGAAAGAGATCGTAGACATCTATGATCAAAAACAGTCAACCTTTTCATGTCTTCAACTCGTATTGGCCGTTTCAGAGCCATAGAGAAGGACGGAGCGAACTGCTGAGCAGTATACACGTTCCTTGGTTGATAGCCGGATGTCACGCCTACGCCAGAGATGGTGTAAGTAAGTGAAAGCAGCCCGAGCTTTTTGGATCCGTGCTAAGATTTCGTCACCAATCAATCCGTTGGTGCTGATACAACTTACCAAATAGGTGAAGTGGTCAACATGTTCTATCACTTCACTCCCTATCACAAAGCTAGAGGTAGACGTAGTCCAGTCCTGTAGCAGCATCTTACATTTCACAGGGGCGAATCGCATGCCAAACATACGAAGATTGCTGCTCAAGGTGTTCAGAGGACTCTGCATTTTGTCAGCATCCTCCCCTAACAGGACTATGTCATCTGCATATTCTAAGTCCATAAGACTATTGCCTGGTAACAAGTCGATTCCTAAGTCGTTAAGTACAGTTAAGGATACTTCAATTAGCATATCTATGATGAAGTTAAACAGAAATGGGAAAAGTGGACATCCCTGACGGACACCACTGGTTGTTATCAATTCAGATGACAGTTCCCCATAAGCCCTTACACGGCTACGTGTGTTTGAGTAGAGTGCCTTGATTAGTGCAATGTACTTTCTTAGCATTGGATAGGGTCCCAGTGGCTTAATGGTCTACAAGCTAGCTTGCCTTGTAACCGGAACGCCCTGGGTTCGAACGCCTGTGGTGGATGCGTACTCATTAAGAGTTCCAAACCGGGATGAAGCAGCTGTCCAATACTCCCAGGTGGTTCTCCAATAGTTCTCTAACCGGTGTCAGCTTATGATGAAATCCTGTAAGCAATCATATAATTACTTTATAAGGTGTACATCTCAACACTAAGAATATTTTAGGTGAAATGTACACTGAGATTAAATCACTTCAAATAGTTTGTTTTATACAATCTTTCATCTTGAGCATTTTTAATGCATAATTAACTACTCCCCCAATAAATATTATTTATCCAAAATGTTTTAAAGAAAGAATTTTCGACATCACATTATAGAATTTTGGTTCAATCATCTAATTAAATCGACGCCATTGTTGGTATTTGTTATTAATTCATTTCTCTCTCCCTCCCTCTTTCTGTGCACTGAGTGAACTTTTTGCAGCAGAAGTATAGCAGTTCAAGTTGCCATACTATATATGTGGCACACAAATGGCAAGCGAAAGAGAGATTCCATATATGATCTGTATATTAGATATATCACACACACACACAGTGATGAAACAGTTTTATTTACTGGATGACAACGTTTCAAATACAATTTATTTCTGTTCATAATCATATCGCCAATTATAATCCAAGACTTCGAAACTTGAGTTTTATAGTTCGCTTTATTCCTTCCTATTTGTTGTCGTAGTGGTAGTAGAATTTTCCAGATTTCGAGATGGACAGATGTTGAATCATTCCCATTACACGTGTTTGTAGTTGACTCGATAAACAAAGCCTCCGTTTAGACAAAGCAATAAGAAGACGTAATTTGTTTGACTCGTGTAATGTATTCGCACAACACATTTCAGACAATCTGTCATGGGAATATATGTGAAATTAATAAGAGTTAAGAGGTGAGAAAATAAATTTAGGTCAAGTTAAAAGGACATATTCAAGGTCAAAATAACAATGAAGATCACTAAGCCAAATAACAGAGGTAATAGTACATCTGTCCTGGCTGGTATCAAAACAAAGTTTACTAAGGAAGGTTTAGTGTGGTGACGAATTATTGCATAAAGATGGTTTAAACTTCCTAATTGACGGCTAGGGCTTCCACAGACTTTAGGATACCCCCCAAATACATTTTATAGGTAGGTTTAAAAGACGTGTGAATATCACATTTATGTCCTGTCTCTATGATATGTTACCCAATTGAAGAACTAGGTCGTCTGTTCTCACCGCTAACGGGCTCTGAGGATTCAGTTTCCTTCTGAAGCCATTTACGAATGTGCTCTGAAGCCCTTACTTGCTTGCAGAGATCGATGAGTCCTCCCTATGTATGTGTGTCCACACGTACATTCTAATTGGTAAATACAGTGGGATGTGACATCATTTTTCGCATGTTCAAAGGGCTTAAATAGTAATATTGGCTTTACATTCTCTATTATTACGATATTGGCTGCATAAAAAGTCTTTTTAACAGCAGCGCTCAATCTTTGTCTAGTTATCAAGCTGCTTTGATGCCCATATAGGGTAGCTTGATGTACACGTCTTTTTTAGGGGCAAGTTAGAGAGTGGGTCTTGGTGTTCTGACTGCTTAATATCTCCTGATAAACTTGTCTGGATAATTATTATCAACCAGAGTTTGTGTCAACTTTCTTTCTTCCTCATCAAGTATGTCTTCAAGGCATATTCTTTGGATTCTACTGAAGAGGCGCGTTACTAAGGCTATTTTGCACTGAACACAGCAGAAACTGTGATAATTAAGATACTGTCCTGTCCAGGTAGGTTTTCTAAAAACAAATCGTTTTTACTGACCCATCAAGCCGTCGAATAAGTGATATGTCTAGGAAAGATAAACAGTAATCTTCCTCTTCTACGGACGTAAGTGATATGCTATTCTGAACTTCATTCATGCTATCTACGGTTGAACTATTCTCCAGATTTCTTACTATCTTATTCCGGTCAACTAATCTAGATTTCGCTAGGCTTTCGTGCTGCGCAAGTTTGACTGACCCCGTTCTCCTAATTTGACCTGTGTACTTGATCTGACAATCATTGCAGGGTATTAGATAAATTGTTTTGTTTAGTTGGCTCCACAGGATCCTTTAACCGACAAAGCTTATTTCTAAGTGAGTTTGTGGCTTTGAATACCAGCCACTTTTATTCATGCATTGTTAAGAATTCTTTATAAGGTTTTCAAGGATCCTTAAGATAAGAAGTCTGGAGAATATTTCAGCCGCAGATAGCACTACATGCAGTTTCACACAATCATACAATAGGATGGGATAATGATGACAGTTTTAAATTCTAATGTAACAGGGTGGAGAGAGAGAGAGACTGATAACAACGGAAGCTTTATTTATCGAATCAACTGCAAATTAACACGTGTAATAGGAATGATTCAACACCTGTCCAGCCGGACATCTGTTAAATTTTACTACCCCCAAGACGACAAATGGGAGAGAATAAAGAAAACTATAAAACTCAAGTTTCGAAGTTGTGCGATTATAATTAGCGATATGATTACGAACAGCAATAAATTGTGTGCGAAACTTTTTCATCCGGTAAATAATACTGTCTCATCACTATGTGTGATATATCTATCTAGTAAGCAAATTAATATTGGAATTACATACTACCACAGTGCTTACAGTTTTACACATATTAAAAAAGAGATTCAAAAGAGTAGAATAATAAGCAGAAATGTGAAGGAGAAAGAACAGTAGTAACATGAAAAAAACATGAGGCTTTATTGGATATATAAGAAATCACAAAGAATCAATGCATCTGTGCCATTGAGAACAATTTTGAGCCATTGGTTCCTAGCATCACAAGGGGACCTCAACCAAGTAGTCTGTCCACACCTCCTTATGCTACATAGCTCAAACTCACTATCAAATCCCTCATAGACTGACGCTACGTTTTGCTTTGACCATCACCCTTGAGTCCTTTAGCCACCTAATCTTATGTTGCTCGCCTAGGAAAGCGACGGCTCAACATGCATAACAAATATGTCCTAGCCATCTCAATCAATGTAACTTTACCGACTGAATTGCCCTCCTTATCATCTAAGACTGTGTAAGCCTAAGATCCACGTGTACAGTAATCATATGATTGTTTAGACTAATCTTTTAAGCTTTCAAACCAGTACAGGTTTATCAAGTCCCAGTTTCTGCCCTATTTTGGGCAGCCAGAGACTATCATATCATCAATCATCTCAAAATAAATATAGTTCACTCTCGATTGCATTAAAATGTAAATATTGAATAGAAAAATGGGATTCAAGTGTTAGTTTGCAGAGATTTGATTTGATGGGTTACAGGATTTTTAATAATAATAATAATAATAATAATTTGCTTTATTCCAGAAACAGTACTAGTGGTACAGTGTGGAATTTTCAGCACATATCTACAATATTTCCATCTAATTTTATCCAACGTTTAAAAGGAGTGTTTCAAAAAAATAAATATAAAGACACCAACAGTAAAAAAACAGGAAAAACACAAAATAATTTTTTTTAAATGCGAAAAAAAAATACCAAGAAGTAGAAAGGAAAATAAACAGCACATAATAATAATTCAGTATGGGCTAATGGAAGCTATGATATGATTATGCATGGTGACAGTAAAGCTATAGTCATACAGGAAGTTATGAACTGATATTTAAGAATGTTTATCGCCAAGATGGTCAGTTTATTTGGTTGAAACGACTCTAAACAATCATAAAATAACATTTCAGGGTCGTTGTTTTGTTTTTTATTGTCAGGTCTAATGCAGTGTTTGTAGTGGTCGTGTGAGTAATCCTGAATAATACAAAATTCTAAGAGGGTGATAATGGCGTTCACAACCAATGATTATCAGTTAATATTGCCGAAAAAAATAAAAAATAAGAAAAAACAACCACAAAACCAATAACTACATGATGGTTAATGACAGGACAATTTTGTAATACTCATAGTGCTAATAGAGTCGGAACCAGTAGATATACAATAGAAGGAATATAATAAAGTACAAAAAAGTAAGCCAATGTTAATAGTTTAGGTAGCTAAGTATGTTTAAGATGGAATTCACTATGGAATACAAAACAAAAGAGAAATAAAAGAGCCTAAAATTATGTTATTTACAACAAAACAAGTCATAGGTTTCGTGCTTAACATTGTCTCTGTTGCTTAGAACACGGGCCAAGTATGGTATCGTTGAGTTCCTGTACTTGGTTGTATGAGCATAGATTACTTTATACTGATTTCTGATGATGAGATACAAGGCGAGAGTTGGGAATAGAGGGGGTGTTGCGGGTCGGAGAGTATGGTTTGAGACCATTTTTCGCATGTATTCAGATGCCTTTCTACTAATGTAGTGACGAGCTGACTGAGTTTTACACCACTAGTCCTACTGACTACCTTCAACATCCTTCTCAGGATGGTATAGTCCTTTTTCAGTAGACCAGGAAAGACTAACGGGGAGCAGTAAAGTAGAATAGGTAAGATACAAGAGTTGACAAATTGTGAAAGTAGAGGTTAGGTGATTCCAGATTGTCTTAGTTTCTTAATGTAGTAGATTAGACAGAACACTTTCTTAGAAATCGTTAGGATATGAGATGCCCAAGTAAGGTCGGGAGATAGAACTAGACCGAGGTATTTTGCATTAGGCTTAGTTTCAATTTTAGTCCCCTCAATGCAACCGGCTTCATGAGTACTTACTAGTGTTTGTAGATCTCGTTTATGCCTAAGACAGAAGTCAATAGTCTGTCATTTTGAGGGATTCAGCATGAGGCCATTTAGTTTAGACCACTGACTGATGTCCGACAGGAAGCTATTTAATTTGAAAGAGTCTGACTGAGGCTTAACGGAAACCGAAACAGTCAGGTCATCTGCAAATTTGACGAAGTTGATTTCGTTTGAAAGAGGTAAGTCATGTAAGAAGAAGGAAAAGAGAAACGGGCTGACATGGTTGGACTGACATCGGTTGGAAACAAACTGGGAGTACTGGACAGCTGTTTCGTCCTAGTTCGGCAATAATCGTCAGTACCCACCCCCACCCACTGATGTTCGAACCCAGGGCGTTCTGGTTACAAGGCGAGCTAGCTCGTAGACCATTAAGCCACTGGTTGGGGACCTAATGGCCCATGGCAGCGCTGTATCATGAATTGGCAAAAGAAAGAATTCATGGACTGGCCATTGCGTAGGGTCCCAGAGGCTCAATAGCCTAAGAGCTCACTTTGTAACCGAGCGGTCCTGGGTTTGAACCCCAGTGAGTGCATACTCATGAAAAGTTCCGAACTAGGATGAAGCAGCTGTCCAGTACTTCCAGGCTGGTTCTCCAATAGTTCTCGAACTGATGTCAGCTCATGATGAAATCCTAAAAAGAGAGTTTTTTCTATTTAACAAACTTCAATAATGATCACAAATTCGCTTCACAGTTAGAGAAGTACTTGAAACCAACAAGGAGTACTGGAAAGCCATTCCATCCTACTTCCTTGAAACTCTCCAGCAGTACGCACCCACGAGCTTGCTGACTATCTAACCACCACTGGAACAGCTATCCAGTACTTCCTAGATTCCAGTGCTTCACTAACTGAAATCAATTCGTGTGTGTGTGACCAATAAATATCAATGAAATCACAATCACAAATCCCTACACTGCAACCCACCCACCAACACACTTGAAAAACAAAAAAAACAAAGTATATAAACTTTAATCGATTACCTTATCTACAACATCTTGTAGGGCTGTACGAATAAATGAGGCTAAACGTTCAGTTTGTTCTCTTGTAGCACAATAGATTAATACACCACCTGTTAGCTGGCTAAATGGTTTATTGGTTAACAGTTTTAATAAAGCTTCATCTTTTCTAGCATCCATTGATGCTGATATGGTTAAATGTGACGGTAACGGTGTAATCACCGGTTGTACATAACCAGATTGATACAGTGTACTTTGGTCAATTTGATCACCAATTAATCTTATTGGATTTATTATACCCAAATTGTTACAGATATTTTTAATCACATTTGGAGTACATGTTGCCGACAAACCTACACAGAGAGAGAGGAGAAAAGGAGATTTGTAAAAACAAAACAAATTCATGAAGATCACTATTTACTGGGTTTCTTTTCTTCGAATTATGAGCTTTTAAATCTTTGAAATCACAGGTAACAATCTACAGTTGATGATGTTGTCGTGGGGCAAGCACTAGAGTCTAGGAATTGTACCTCTTGTATGGCCTATTTCTCTTCCTTTCTATGTGTTTCATTGAAATATCGGAAAACTAATGTGGAACATTTAAAGATAATACTACTTCATGTATTCAATATCTAGAATATATATATTAGGAGATTGCATACAAGGAATAATAGTTACAGAGTTTACAACTTAAGCGGATTTTGTCATGGATCGGGGAAACCTGTCTCTCTGTCTGGATTCAACATAGAACTTCGCTCCGAAGTGCAGCAGTTCGAGTTGCCACGGTCCAAATACCACACAAAGGTAGACAAGAAAATGAGTTAAGAGAATCAATAGAGTTTTGACAAGTACAAGAGTGAAACAGAATGAGTAATGGTAGAAAGGAATATGAAAGACTATAGAGACTGAATACATCTGTGTAAGCCATTGACAACGATTTTGAGCCATGTCACCTATTGTCTCCAGCCATTGATTCTCAGAGTCCCGAGGGCGGGCCCCAACCCGGAAGTCTGCATCTCCCTACCTGACTCAGTTTAACTGTCAAGGATTTCATGGATTGATGAGGCCATGCTTTTGTTTGGCCACCACTTACTCTTTTCCAACCTGCACCTATATCAGCTAGTAATGCCCGTCCGTCGGGGGAGGCGAGGGTTAGGCATGCGCAGCACGTGACCTAGCCATCTCAATCTATGTAACTTTATAGCCTTTTCGATTGATTTTCCCTCTTTGCCCAACACTCTACGCCTAACGTCAACATTACTCACCTTATTATACCACCTAACGTGAGAAAGAGATCGTAGACATCTACGATCAAAAACAGTCAACCTTTTCATGCATTCAACTCGTATTGGCCATGTTTCAGAGCCATAGAGAAGGACGGAAACCAGAGAGTATTAGACCATTACTTTGTCCCAGCTTGAGAGTACCATTAACTACCGCTTCCTCCAATCAGGAATCAAACCTAACAATATAAGACAGCATTACATATAGTACAGTAATAGAAAGCTTTTTCATTTGTATTTTGTTTGCTTCTACTACAACATTATGCTGAAATAAACCTGTTATGTGAACAATGTAAAATGATTTTTTAACCTAAACATACTCAAAGAAACATACCTAGAAAACATTTGACTTTCATATATCTTCTTAGTAGATTGCATACACGTAGATAAGACGGTCGAAAATGATTAGACCAATCAGCTAAACAATGCGCTTCATCAATACAAACGAAACTGATCGGAGGTAAACGTCCTGACTGAAGTAGCCAATCAGATTCAACAATTGCTTCAGGTGATAGCATAAGAAAAGAATATTTTCCCCTATTAGAATAAATTTATAAATGAGTTTTACAATAACCGAACATCTATACACATACACATATATGTCCATGAAAAAAGACAATGTTAATCGGCAATCAATTGAATCTGTATGCAGACGGCAAATCAGCTAGAACAATTATTGTGATTCTACCTGGGCTACCTCCAGACCATGGTAGGTGGAGCATCCGCCACAGTCAGGAATATCATCGATGATAGTAGACAGTCTTGTTTTACGCCTTTCTTTACTTTAAAGCTCTCATTGGGCTTTCTATTATGAATTACTCGGTATGTGGCATTATCGTGTAGCTGTTGAATGAGGGTTATAACGATATATATATCAGTTTGAGGGCGTTTGTGGAAGCAAATACATAGGTCGCATAGAAAGGCGATTCCCTAGTCTCATGATGGAGCATTTGTCAAGGTGGTTGAAAGCAGCTGAAGTGGAAGTGTCTAAAAGTTCAAATAACAAAGCATCCTATGGACTACGGAAATGATACCGGCGCAATCAAGTCATTTACTTGCAATTGCGGAAAGCCTGCACAATTGGAGTTTATAAACCAAGTCCCCATGTACAAGAAGAAAGTGGTGGTCACTCTGAATCTACAAACACTAGTAAGTTCTCATGAAGACTGTTGCATTGAGGGGACTAAAATTGAAACCAAGTCTAATGCAAAATACCTCGGTCTAGTTCTATCTTCCGACCTTACTTGGACATCTCATATCCTAACGATTTCTAAGAAAGTGTTCTATTAATATATGTGTAAAACTTGGGCACTGCGGTAGTAAGTAATTCCATATTAGTTTGTTTATTAGGTTTCACTGTGTTTGTTTATTAGGTTTGTTTGTTTGTTTATTTGTTTGTTTGTTTATTAGGTTTCACTGTGTGATATACCTAATAAACAAACTAATATGGAAGAAAGTGTTCTGTCTAACCTACTACTACATTTAAAAACTTATACAATCTGGAATCACCCAACCTCTACTTTCACAATTTGTCAACTCTTGCATCTTACCTATTCTACTTTACTGCTCCCCGTTAGTCTTTCCTGGTCTACTGGAAAAGGACTATACCATCCTGAGAAGGAAGGAAGGACTAGTGGTGTAAACCTCAGTCAGCTCGTCACTGCATTAGTTCAAAGGTATCTGAATACATGCGAAAAATGGTCAAAAATCATACTCTCCGACCCCCAACACCCCCTCTATTCCCAACTCTCGCCTTGTATCTCATCAAGTAAAACCAGAAGTCAGCATAAAATAATCTATGCTCGTACAACCAAGTACAGGAACTCAACGATACCATACTTGGCCCGTGTTCTAATTTACAGAGACAATGTTAAGCGTGAAACCTATGACTTGCTTTGTTATTAACAACATAATTTTAGGCTCTTTTATTTCTCTCTTATTTTATATTCTATAGTGAACTCCTTCTCAAACATACTTAGCTACCTAAATTATTCACATTGGCTTCCCTTTTTTGTACTTTACTATATTCCTTCTATTGTGTGTCCACTGGTTCCGACTCTATTAGCACTATGAGTATTACAAAACTGTCCTGTCATTAACCATCATGTAATTATTAGTTTTGTGGTTGTTTTTTCTTATTTTCTATACTTTTCGGCAATATTAAACTGACAATAATTGGTTGTAAACGCCATTGTCAACACCTTAAAAAATTTTGTATTATTCAGGATTACTCACACTACCACTACAAACACTGCATTAGACCTGACAATAAAAAACAAAACAACGACCCTGAAATGTTATTTTATGATTGTTTAGAGTTGTTTCAATCAAATTAACTGATCATCTTGGCGATAAACATTCTTAAATATCATTTCATAACTTCTTGTATGACTATAGCTTTACTGACACCATGCATAATCATATCATAGCTTCCACTACCCAATACTGAGTTATTATTATGTGCTGTTTATTTTCCTTTCTACTTCTTGGTACTTTTTCGCACTTATAATTATTTTGTGTTTATCCTGTTGTTTTTGCTGTTGGTGTCTTTAGATTTTTTTGTTTGTTTGTTTGATACTCCTTTTAAATATTTGTAAAATTAGATCCAAATATTGTAGATGTGCTGAAAATTCCACACTGTACCACTAGTACTGTTTCTGGAATAAAGCAAATTATTCTTATTATTATTATTATTGTTATTATTATTATGATAATATGTTTCACTTATTAACCATTATTACTATTATCAATATTTTGTTCCACCTCTTATTATTACTGTTTATGGTTCACTTGAAACTATCTTTCATCATTACCATTATCTTAACTCGTTTTTCAACATTATTACTATTATTAGCATTACTATTATAATCAATATTATTTAGCTCGAAATATATATATATATATATATCCCTGTATGTACAGCATCCAGCTGAGGAAGAGTTCCACCGAAATTGGATAGAATTCATTAAATCTTACTTTATTAACTTTTGTTGCTTGTTTAATTTTTATTTATTCTACGCTATTCGGGATAAACTGAACAAGATGAATAAAAGAACAAAATAAATTCCACACACCCCTCGCTCTTCCAACTAAACACATCCTTCTGGAACCCAAACATAGTAATAACTTACTTCTGTGCCTCTTCTAATATTTCTCTTTTGCGATCAGCAGATAGGCTAGAATTTAAATAAGCTCCTTGTACACCCGACATATGCTGCACTACCTGGTCTTGCATTAGAGAAATAAGAGGTGAAATGACCAAGGCAACTGTCTTATAAAGTTGCTAAAAAAATTATTGGAATTTAAAAGAAATTAATTAGTTAGTTTGTTTCGATTCTTTAAAAAATATATATATAATTTGAACCTACCTGGTATATCATCGCAGGTATTTGATAGCACAATGATTTCCCCGAAGCTGTCGGCATTACCGAGAGGGTAGACACACCCAAAAGTGTACGAAGTATAACCAATTCTTGACCAGCACGAAAAGAATCGAATCCCAACTGCTTTAAGCAAGACTTTATAGAACGGGACAATTCATCAATAGACACGGAGGGATTTGATATTTCAGACGAACTACTATTTGATAAAAAGTCTGCAGGAAAAACATCTTCAAGTTGAGGTTGACAAAATCGAACATCGAGTTCGTTAAGATTGAGTATTTTACAGGCAACATCATATTTCTGTGAATACTGTGAATGATTAGCAGTTGTTGAAGTTTTCGATTGCATTATGGTCATTGGACATTTATTAGACCAATGACCAGTAGCTCCACAAGTGTAACAAGTATTTTTCTTTTGATAAGAATTATTTTTAAACTTTTTCTTTAATTTACTCAAATACACTTGTCTTTTTAGTGCTCTTTGTTTTGAAGATCCTTTCTTACAAAATTGTTTCTTCTTTAAATTAATCTTTACATAATTGTGAGTAGGAAGATTAACTCGACTGGATTTCATACTGTTTGATGTGCGCTTCTTGAATGTAGTATCAACTGTTATGTCTGTGGGAACTGTTTGATTAGTGTCAGCAGCTGTGGTAGAATTAGCACTTGGAATTTCCAGATCTTTGGAGATGCTGGTAACTTCCGTGACATTTGAAGAATCTCCATGGGCTGTATTTATAGGTGTCACAAACTCATCACTGTCCAGTATACTTGTTCCGTCAACTAATGGACGACTAAGCAAAGAACCACACTTTGTGGGTATAGGTTTTGGTATATGCGACCGTGTAGCACTACGATAATTAACGTATTCATGAAATGCACCTGCTTTGTTGTCACTAATTACTGAATTTGCTTTTATGGAAGTATCGGCTTCAAACGGAGTAGTCAGATTAGTTAAATTGGTAGAAATGATTGGAACTTCTGATGATTGATGAGGTAAAATACTATTCACTTTCTTTAGAATTGGTTTTGTATTCGAATGCGTAGACAGACATCTTTTGGCACTGTAAGTAAAACAGCTACTTTCCAAATTGTTGACAACATTCTCCTTTTCTTCTAAATCTATGGATGGATTTGTGGATAGGGTAGTTTTACTGGGGGATTTCTCTTGCGGTAGACATTCTTTAGAGAAATTAAGCTTCAGTTTCTTTGCTAACTGCACTTGAAGAGGAGCAGTACGTTTAGTCGCACGATCCTGTGTCTTGGGGCGTATATCCCATGGGTTTATTTCAGATTCCATGCCCAGTTAAAACTTAACCAAAAACAGACTACAAACACACCTTTGTAATGACATCAAGAATTTTCCAGGATAAAGGCAAGACCTATAAAAAAAGATCGACAATTATGCACAAATATAAATGTGTGCGGATGATACATTCACTCGATGACAAATAGGCCCAGGCAGGCTTGAGACAATCACGCACTTTAATGGAATATAGTCAGCCTTAACACTAGTGTATGACGAATAATCCCCAAGTTAACCTACTTTCTAAATATCAATCTAACATGAAATGTATATATGGTTTTATGGGGAATTTACATTTAAAAAACAACCTATGTATATAATATCAGCATTCTGAATGGTGGGTTTAGGCTTGAAAATTTGGACGTCAATGGACTCAGGTAAATGCAGTGGAAAGATTCGGTGGGGTCTGATGAATCACACCATGAATGCTTTCGTTTTGTCTACAATGGCCACTATTAACTGAATACAACAAAACAGGGCCTCGGGTTGTTTTTGTCAGTTTGTTACCAAACCACAATGGGAGATGTTAATCAATAGGTTGGCTAAGTTGTCCAGTAGTACAACCAACAAAACCATCTTCACACGCGCAGTTGAATTGATATATACATGTAGATGTGGTAAAACTATTTAAGCTTATCCATGGCGTGAGTCGCAATCATTCACCTACTAGAAAATGACAAACAGGTTTGCTACGTAAAATGTTTTCCCTATTGTTTTGGCTGGTCATTGGAACCAAATTCTACCTAACAAATCCCCATTAAATTGTACCTTAGCAAATGATGGTTTTCTCCGTGCTGTCGTTATCCCTAGTCTTCTATTTAATTTTTTCATGTTTTTTTTTTTGAAAATACTCGGATAACTGATCTCTATTAAGGAATCATAAATATATTCAAATTTTTCCTGCAAACGATCCCCCATACATTGTCTTTCTTGCTTTGTTTTTAAAACAAAACAATATTTCTTTTATATTTAATAAGTATATAACTAAGGAAGTGTGTGTATTGCCCTGTGAATGTGTTTTTCCTATACAGGTTTCGCCCAAGTAACCTATCTTTTCGCCTACTTAGCGAGTCATCCTACTCCTCTACACAAGTAAAAATAAACAAAGAGTGAATGTTATTAAGTTTCATCAATAATTCACTTATACTTACATCCTCACTAAGATACAAGTATCATTAGCAGAAGTACAATGCATACGCAACTAAATAACGACATCCTTCTATAGTTCATTTTCAATTTTTAACGGAAACAGTCTGCTAGAATCAAGCTTAAAAGTGCTTGTCGGTAATATGTACTGTTGAAGAGAAAGGACATTTATTGCATGTTTAAGGAGTGGATATTTAAGGGTAGACAAAGGAATACACATGTCCATTTGCCTTCCAGTGGTTTGTTATTATATGTAGTCCACCCTCTAAAAATTGCCACATTTGTGAACAAGGAGGATACATCTTTGGATATCATAAGTCAATCATTTACATTCGTCTCGGACATTTAAGAATTAAAGTAAAAGACACCATTAATCATTTATCTCAAAATAGCTTTGTCCAAAGGTTCAAATATCTGGATTAGCTTTTTTGCCGTTCCATGATAATGGTGAAAGTGGGGCATTTCTCGAACTGATATGAGAAACGTGAGAAAAAGTGGATCAAACGAGGGGTGTAAAAAAATTGGGAATTCCTTCTGCGAAAATAGGGAGAAATGGGTAATTCGCCGAGATTCTAAGAAATAAGGAAACAACATCGGGTAGGCGGTCTAAAGTCAGATAATGGTGAGTGGTGGGTTTTTGTTGTTGTATTTCACCTACTTCACACCCCATCAAAATTTCTCATTTACCTTACTATTTACCTATATTATGAATGTACACCTTCCAAATGGTCGTGTTTTCACGTTTCAACACCTGAGTGATGAAATCTGAATTCAAAATCGGAACAACTATAGGGCAAAGTTAAACTAAAGCAGCCACACACTTTCAAAAACCAACTAGAGTTACAGGTAGTACAATTTAATCAAATCGAGATCAAGTGTTTCACTACTGTGGGTAAATGAGGATTACTACAATATTCATATGTGGGGGAAGCTTGACGGGATAACTGGTCTTTTAGGAGGATATGGATTTCGGGGAATATAAAAGAACAGAATTTGAAATAGACACGGATCCAATACCATCATATTCGGCAGTAGTAAAAAATAGACACCACACTTAAATCACCCTGAAACAATTAATCATATTTTTCCAGGCAAAGTGGCATTTATAATACAAAATAGGGTGAAGGCAAACTATCATAGCCAAAACCACATTGACCTTGGACAACCGGTCAGAATCCAGACCCAAAACAGTCGCATAGCTGTTGAAAAATGCACTAAAAACATTACAAACACTATATTATGTAGTTGTGGCTTATGTGTTGTAAGAATGTTTCCAAGTCACTACACAAATGATCTATGGGGAAATCATACCACACTTGATAAATGTATTCATCCAGGTGACTGTAGGCCATGCTATTTTGAGATCTATCGATATTTCTGACACTGTTCTTCAACCTACTCCTAACTCCAACCATAATCACAACTCCTAACCTTAACCCTGAAACTTAGTTTAATACACCCCATCCCAGGTAGCATTTTCTTCAGGTGCATTGTAGAATCTTCGGGCACATTGGAGAACGTGGCACAAGGCCCCTAAGCCTGCCCCAAACATTCTGCAATGTGCCCGAAGTCTGCCCCAAAAATTCTGCAATGAGCCCGAAGTCAATGCTAGCTGGGATATTCAATAGTCATCTTCTTTAATTTGTTCGAGACTTCTTTTACAAGTTTATTCTGAATAGTTTCCCAATATAAAAAGGTTATATCAGTAGGGAAAGCTGCTTTGGTTTGACTTTGCCTAGTAAAGTACATTAAATAAGAGACATATATGAATATATTCATGCTTAGATTTTATATTAACCATCTACACTGATTTGTAGCGTATTAGTGAAAACTTAAGTTCAAACCATTAGGTATCTAAGGTCCAATGTAAAAGTTCAAGATGGAATCATCAAAACATCAGATTTCGGATGCTCAGGGTCTCCCCACCGAGGCTAGCCTCACACTAGCGTGGTAAAAAAGCAAAGAATAACTAACTAACGACAGAAAATAAGGCATGTACATTAGCCAAAACGTCAGTTTCGAACATATACTTACTACTCAATTACGAAATGTCCATATGTCCTTGTTGTAGCGTCTAAATTTGAACTATGGTCGACAAACTGAACTAGCACGAGATTTCGAACATTATGATTAATGACAAAAACACGGACTGATTTATTCTTCAAAAAGTCAGTTGAACGCATGCGCTTACCCATCAACTTTCTTGGTAAACCGCGCGAACTTTAAAAAGGGAGTGAATTTTACACGCTCTTGTTTAGTTTTGGCTTTTGTTGTGTTATACGCTCCAAAAGTCTACAGATTAACTTTAAATCAGTTTATTCTGATCAAAGTTAGTTTACTTTTCAGATCTGAGTCTATTTAAATTATAGGAAATTGTTATTTCTATAACATAATAGCTATATATATATTTTTGTGCACTCATTGATTTTTATCGCTGACTTATAAAGGTCTATATACATCTAAGTTATATTTAAATTTCTTCGCCAGTCTCTTCTAGACAGTATGCCCATCAAAAAAAACCGCTGTGGAAGGGTTATGTGCCAATTCCCAGTGGATGAGGGAATGCAGTGTGATAACTGCAAGAGATGGTTTCACAGTATGTGCACAAACCTAACTCCTGCAGCATACAAACGCTGCTGTAAACCCCTAGAAAACTGGTTGTGCAATGACTGTTGTAGTACTACCAAACTCCGTATTACAGAAGCCATTGCCACTCTTAGCGGGGCTTTAAAGCTCATGGACTGCGAGGGTCATCCATCACAGGAAAAGACTAACTGCTTCTCAGACGCCGAAGATGCGACTAGCGTCATCGACAGAACAGTACATGTTCCTAATGAGTCTTTGTCAATGACTGAGTGCCCTTCAGCACAGAAGAGCACTCACCACATTTCAGTCACCCAGGCTGCCCCCACGATACTGGATAAGCCCTCCAGTGACAGTAACGGAAAGACTGCCACAAAGAAGAGGCGTACCAGGGGTCGTAAACCTGCAACTCAAGTCACCCAGGTACTAGTGGATCAAGCCTCGTCCACACCGGTGAGTAGCAGGCAGATAAATCCTGCTACGACTAGTGAAGAGAACGCCAATGAATGGCGTAACGTAGTCTCTCGCAAAAAGCGAGACAAGGACAATACATTGGCCACACTGCCCACGAAGGAAAGGAAGACATTCACGCCGCAGAGCAAGACAACCACGGCAAGCAAACCTGATCTCTCTGACAGGTCGCTCATTCTCCACAAAGTGGAAGAGTCATTGGCCCCCGAACCCAAGACTAGATTTGAGCATGACCTTAACTTGGTTAAGCCCCTTTTAGACAAGCTACTGCCACAAACAGTATCAGGCGTCACTATACACAGTGTATATAGAATAGGCCAAAAGCCTGACCCTACAGTAAGTCAGCCTGTACGTCTCCTCAAAGTCGTACTAAACTCTAAGGAAGAGAGGGATGCTATTCTAAGCAACTCTCATATACTTAAAGGATCAGGCATATATGTCCGCGCCGACTTAAGCCTGGCAGACCGTATCAAAAGACAGTCTGCGGCCCTAGAATTAAGCGAACGACGCCGAAACGGCGAAAAGAACCTTAAGATTAAGGGTTTTCGGGTTGTTCAAGTTCGCAGTTTAATGATCCCGAAACCTCTGTGGGTAGGCCGGGGAAGCACCAAACTGGATTAACAGTTTGCTACACAAACGCCCGCAGCCTGTTAAATAAACGGACTGAGCTGGTTAACATGATAGACTCCGGAAACCCGGATGTAATTATTATCACAGAGACATGGCTCACACCCGATGTCACTGACAGCGAAGTTAACCTGCCAAACTTCGAAGTGCATAGGGTAGACCGACTAAACCGCAAAGGAGGTGGCGTAGTCATTTACCTCAAGAAATGCTTAACCGTGCGTAGTATCGAAGCACTCGCTCA